CATTGTACTTTAATCAAATGGGAACTTAAATCCTCAGCTTTGACAATGTAGTTTGCAGCACAGTAAACAGAACTTGCTGACCTTTCAGTTTGTCCATGTTTTGGACATGGCTTTGTTTTCTCATGCAGTGCAAAATGTTGTAGCCCTTGGCTGCCTTGGTTTTGCAGAGCTGATGAAGGTAGGCAGGCCTGCCTGGCTTACCTTCAGTTCCTCCTGCAAGGTGGCATACATCTCGTTTATCTTATGAACCTCCTGTAGGGACCCATCTTCATGGAAGAATTCTGACCTGTGATCAGGAGTAGAACATAATTGCAAGCTAGTGATCCTAGTGCTTACTTAGTAGGAGCTTTAGTGAGTAAAGCATTTTGAGCTTCAATGCCAGATGCCTGTGCTGAGACAGACAGCTCCTGGCAAAATATGGGACTGAATTAATTTCTTTGTATGCTGGAATGGTAAGTAATTGTAGAACACAGGTCAACAAGTGAAACAAGGTATGGCTGTAACATTTACAAAAGCACTTAAATGCTTCTATAGAAAAGTAAGTGTAGTTATGGTAGTGGGAAGCTACAGCTGTCAGTAAATACAACATATATTGTACCTGTGTTGTCTCATGGCTCTCACAAAACCAGAGGATACGCAGGAACCGGACACTGTTCTGTAACCTTGCTGTTCTGCCATGCCCAAGTTGGTAACCACCAAAGGGACTTTCTGGAAAAGTCTTAAAATGCATAAGTATGAAAACATGATCTATTAGTATCCACAGATGTTTCATTGAAAGTTAAGTGTTTTTGGCCATTCAGGATCTGATGGGAGAGTTACAGTATGCTTAATCTTTGCTAAATGTGTTATATCGTGTACAGATGAGGCTAAAGGCAAACTGCAAGAGCAACCAGAAGCTGAGCAAAGCCCATAATTTCCCCTCTTTCTGACTACAACACACACTAATGCAACATTTGCTTGCTAAGCCTAGCCTGCAAGCAGAATTTCTCTGAAGATCAAGTTGACAGCAATTTAAATATTTTTATGAACACCTTGTATGGTTGAGGTCCTGTACACAAAACAATTCCATCAGGTGTAGCTTATATGTGTAAATAAACTGACAGTGTCTGCTTGGTGATGCTGGCACTGTAGATAAAAAGGGCAATCCCAGAACAGAAGTCCAGGGTAAGCCTTCAACTGGGCTGTGGCAACATAAGGAATCATCTTATTAAAAGTTTAAGTTTCAAAGGTGAAATATACAGTGTTACTGATTCAGTTGCAGCAAAGTAGAAAAACTTTCAAGTTTTAGCACATACTGTAGACCTTACCCTTCCTGAGGCCGGTGTAGAGCGTGTTCCAATCTGTAAGTAGAACAGCTTTCTGTCATCACGCTAGAGGTTAAAAGGAGGAATACAAGCCCCTGGTTTGATAGGTGTGACTGCAGGTTTTTATGAAGAACTCTTTCCCGGAATGTCATGGTCTGGTCTGTGTTACGCCTGAATTTGTACCATCCTATTACACTCTGCAGGCAGAAGAAAATTCACAGTTACTGTTGAATCATGATGTCCCTGTGTGTTACTGAAGCAAGTTTCCTCCAGTGCAAAGTCGTGTCTGAATTGTTTGCTAGTAGGTGCATAGTCAAGCAATTAGTTGAGTTAAAACCTTTAAAACTTCTAAGCCTAATTCCCATCTTCTTTCCTTCAAAACCATGTGTTGGTCTGTTTCTTAGCCTGTGTTCAAGCTGACACTGCAAGCTTTTTTCTGTTTTGTTGTTTCTTTCCAGCTTCTACTTTCCCCTTATAAAACTTTGTCCTGTGGAAAAAAGTGTAGGTTTTTTTGATGTAATGGTCCTTAACCAATTGTGAGCTGACCTCACTGGTCTTAAGGTGGAAATTCCTTTGGTGCAATTCCTTTAGGATCCTTGAAATGCTCACTTGAGAAATTAATAATTCAAAATAAAGTTGTGACACATACGTAGGCAAATCCTAGTCAAAGATAAGCTAAACTGTTTTTTTATGGAAGAAAAGGATGTAGCTGCCCTGACCAGCAGCATGAGGGACTATAAAAGGTTTAAAATGAGACAAGAAAAAAACCTTGATGCAAGAAGTATCCAGAACAGCCTCCAAAATTTGAGTGAGCTCCTCAGTATGGTTTAGATTTAAGAATAAAATACCTTCTTACAGCCTGATAGTATTTTCTTCAGGGCAAGTTCATTCAGTTCTCCTGCAGAATTATAAAAGCTATAAGAAAATTAGAACAATTAGAGGGGAAAAATTAGACTGCAAAAATAATTCTAGCATACTGAGAATCATCTTGGTTTAAAAAAAAAAAATTAATACTATTAAGGGTGAGGGGTTAGAATGTATGGAATGCTTTTTTTCAGTGTGTTGACACTGTTCTGTAGTTTATATGGTATCATAGGTCACCAGAAGGTGCAGTATGCCTTATCTCTGTCTCTTTATGCATAGACAAACATGAAAAAAAAAGACATAAAGAACCAAAATAGAAATAGCATAAGGCATTTTGCATCTGTAATTCCAAGAGGTTGATACAGCTGCTATAGTTACAGCTGGGTGATTTTCTCAGGCAATGTAAGTTTAACACTTAAAGAGTTCAGGTTAGGGTTAATTTTAACTTTTCAATACCTCTTTCCTTGAGATTCTTACCTGAACAACTGGTAGCATGGAATATGCTTCTGTATGTCTGGAAAGAGAAAGTAACATTACTCTGGGTTCATCAGCTGAAGATGTATATTCTGCTGCATGCTATGATCAGCATGAAACTGATAGAAAGACCAAGAAATAATTGTATATAATTTCCTAAAATTGAATGCATTAACATAAAATTAAATAAGGTGAAGAAAGGAAATATTTTTAAAATATGTTCTAATTAATTTTATCAAATGTAAAGGGAACCACTTATATAAACTCTATTTTTGTTTACTTTTCTACTATGTCAACTGAAAAATCAGGTACTTTGTATTTTCTCCTTTCTGCTGAGTGAAGGAGAAATATGTAGTATGAAGGATTTTACTTGAAAACAGCAGTCCCTGAGTTATTCAATGCACATCCCCTCCAATCACATCAAGATGATAACAAAAAATACATCTGGCATCTGCTTAGTGAAATTACTAAAGAGCTTGCACCCCTCACGCACACAATTTTGTAAGTTCCAAATGAGGTAATAGATGCTAATACATTACAGTTCACATCACTGATAGACAAAGCTTTTCCAGGGCAACTGTAGTCCAGGAGAGTTTGTGATGTAGCCAAGACAAGGGTCTAAACTCTAAGTTATGTTTAATGTAACAAGATATTTGGCAAAGAGTAGCCATCCAAGGAACTAGAAACTATTATTTCTTTTAAATTACTATGTTTTCTGCAGTAAAACTGTAATCTTTTTTAGCGGTTAAAAATGTTACAAAATAACCCTTCCATATGTTTTCAGTTGTTTGGGGTTTTTTTTAATCAGCGAAGCATGTAGGATCTTGGTGCTTTGATCTTGACGTAGACTGAAAACTGAAAGCTGTCATTTACTGCCCAAAACCAAGCAGGCTATGAAAAATGTGGACACACTAACCGATTGTATAAACAACTTCAACATCATCCATTTGTGAGTCTGTAATGCTGTTCTTGGCTTCACCTTTCACATCTCCGAGGAGAAAACCTTCCTTTAGAGGGGAAGAAGAAAAAAAAAAAATCACATTAACAGTAGCACTGAACAGACACTCTTGCTCTTGGTGCTGGTGTGGCCTCACCCCCCCGTCCTGTGTGCAGTTTTGGGTGCCACAATGTAAAAAGAAAAATACAAACTATTAGAAAGTGCTGCAAAGGTAGTGGAGGGTCCAGAAGGGAAGGCACAGGAGGAGCGGCTGAGGGCACGCGGTTTGTTTAGCCTGGAGCAGAGTGCGGGGACACCTCCTGGCATTCTGCAGCTGCCTCGGGGGAGAAGTGCAGCTTCAGACACTGATCTCTTCCCTCCGCCCACCCTGAGGGAAGAGACAGAACTCCCTGTGTGAAGCTGAGTTGGGGGAGGTTTAGGTTGGATGTCAGAAAAAGGCTTTTCCCCCAGAAGGTGTCTGCGCAGTGGAACCGGCTCCCCAGGGAAGTGATCACAGCACCCAAGCCTGGCAGAGTTCGAGAAGCGTTTGGACAGCGCTCCCACAGGCATGTGGTGGCATTCCTGGAGTGTCCTGTGTGGGGCCAGCAGTTGGACTACACGATCCTTGTAGCGTACTCTGTCATTATTTTCTCTAATACCAAGTGCGAGTGCTGTCTTCAGGAGAGGAAAAGGGCTGTCAAAACGAACTTTGTATACATACATATATATATATATATATATAAATATATATAATTTATTTTTTTTTTTAACAGGGTGTGTTCTCGCTCATTTTTCGGTACCCGCCCGCAGTGAGGAAGCCATCCTCAGCGCGGCACTGCTGTGTCTCGCTGGGTGCGCGGAGGCTCCCGCGCTCCCCGAGCCCGAGCCGTCCGCGGCCGTGCCGCGCTGCCCGCCGGGGCCGGGCCCGGGGCGGACACGGCGCTGCAGCCGCCGCTCGCCCCGTTCGAACGCGGAACGCCCACGTTTTTCCGCCGCTCGCCCACAAAGAGGTGCCGGGCGCTCTCTCCTCAGGGCCGGGCGGGGGAGGCCCGGCGGCAGCGCGGCGGAGGCGGCCCGCCCCTCCCTCCTCTCCCACCGAGCCGGAGCGGCCCTCCCGCGGCACCCACCGTGTCCGAGTCGGTGCTGAGGTGCTGGAAGGCCAGGGCGCCGAACACGAAGCCCGAGAGCAGGGCCGAGGTGCTCTCGCCCTCCATGCCGGCAATGGCGGGACGGGCCGCGGCCGGGCGGGAGCCCCCAGCGGCCGCCGGCGGCAGCGCCGCGCCCGGGCCCGGCCGCCTCAGCCCGGCCCGCGGGGGCCCGGGAGCTCCCCTCAGCTGCAAAACTGGAAACTTGCTCTCAAGAGATGTTCTCCGATGTTTGGTTTTGTCCGCTTTCAAGCCTAGTCAGCAAGAAGGGAGATTTAATACCAGGGGAGATCTAATACCAAGTCCTGTACCTGTCGGAACAGGACGTACAGCCGTATGTCTATGCACTGCGGTCCTTGGGAATGCGGGGAGAATCTGCCGAGTTAATCACCTAATAAAATGTGATAAGGAGGCAATAAAATGATGGTGCTAAATAATCATCTGACAGCAGTAAATTGTACCACTTCTTCCTCAGATGTGGACCGTTTGCAGAATGCGTGTTTTGTATTTTTTAAGTTGTCACATTTTACTTATTTTTAATATTCGCACTAACATTTTTTCCCATTATAGCAGGTGTTCCTGACATATCAGCCAGAAGAAAGTCCTAGAAAACAATTTCAGGAAGAGAGAGTAACAAGTGACAGCATTCTTTGAAATGTGATCAGAGATCTGGTCTACACGCCACAGGGGGTTTACTCCTTTACTTTGGGAGAGCAAGTGTTTGATTTCATCACTCATCAGGACTATAGGTAAGCACAGTCTTAGCCTTAGAGGTTAATTTCCTGGCTCTTGAAATAGGATGTATGGACCTGTGGTCTTTCGAGTGGTATTTCCATGCTCGTTAGGTCTCACACATATTTTTTTAGGTTGCATATAAATAATATAAAATCAATACTTTCAGTGCAGTTTCTTTTCCTCTTTTTTTCAAGATTTAGAAGGAGTTTTGGCATGTTTATATTTAAATAAAATTCTTTAAGTATTATTTGAAAGATACGTGACTAATGCTAGTATTTAGAAGGGAAAACTGTTGTGATTCTTAACTATTGTTACAGTAGAGAAAGGGACCAGGTAGGACTTTCATTTCTCAACACACTCATAAATGATCTAATTCTCTGAATAAGGAGATGACAAGCCTTGGATAGTACAGAATGATGGGCAAGGTTGATGGGGAAGAGCTAGCATGCATTTCTTGCAATGCAGACCATGTGGTATTAAACAAATGGGTAACAAGTACAACACATCTAAAGGGATACATTACAACAAATTATTCCATTATGGACCATGTTGCTGTGGTAGAGGCAACAAGAACAGATGATATGATAAGCTTCTATAGCTGTTTGGGGAGAAAATATTGAAAGTGGACACAAAATGCTCACTCAGTTCAGGAATTCTCCCAAAGCACCCTGTGTTGTGCTTGCAGTCACTCCTAAGCCAGAGCTGGGAGAAAATTGTATGCATTTAATCAATGCAATAAGTGTTAGGCATTGACAAATTAATTTATTGCATTCAGTGTCAATGATACACAAACCACATACAAGATTTATATGGACAATATATGAGATGGGTACTGACAGCCATGCAATGCCCACACATCTGTGGGAATACATTGCTGAGCAAACAAACCTAATCAGAACAGTAGTGGATTTCCCTGGTTTGAGATACAAAGACTCAAGCCTGTTGTAAGTCACAGGATACAATAAATGACTTTCTGTAACTGTTGAATTTATCTTGTATGGAAACAATAATGCTTCTGAAGTCAGAGCTAAATGTGCTACAGTTATCCTAATGAGTGATACAGTAGTTAAAGATGCTTCTTCAGTGTTTTCATAATTTGTCAAAGATAAAGCATAACTAGCACAATCTTACTGTGGTCAGATATAAACATGCTCCTGTTTGGTGGCATAGATGGAATCTATAGAGACCTCAAGAGTAGCAGACATAGCTCAGTTGGAGTGAGAATGCAGAGGAGCACATATTTGCATGAAGACTGTGTTTTCCATTAATAAATATTACACCTGATACTGCTTACTATGCAATAGGTGACCTCTAAGGTTATTCTGGCCTTTTGGAGAATTTTCCACATGTAAAGCATGAACCTCAGTCTTGATAAATATCAAAGCAATACTACCAGAGATTATTTCACTCTTGAGTAGCAATCAGGTAAGGGGTTTGATAAATGTGAAGTTGAAACATTGAGAAGACATAAGCAAAACTAATAAAGCCTTTTTGTTGTTGTTATAGCTGGTTAAAGTTTAGTTGAAAAAAGGGATGTTCTTAGTAGTTTTCATTCTGAGTACACGCAGCAGAATTACTGGGGTGTAGAATGTTCTGATCAGTCCTGTTTGAACACTTTCTTATCATGAAAAACATGATCCTGATACCCTTGGATGTTAAGTGATGCTGGTGAATCAGCCCAGGTTTGCTGTCTGACTCTGTGTCATCGACTTACAAGGCTTTTCAAAATAGATCAATCTGCTTTGTAGCATGGCAAAACTCACAGAGAAATACCAGGGAGCCCTACAACTGGTGTCAGAAGAATAATTTTAGCAATAATACCATCTTCCCATGCCTAATGGCAATGTCAGGATGTACTTCTGTATACTGGCTGCAAGCAGCTTTGGACAATGTTGCTACTCCAAATAGGTAAAAATTATACCCTGTCTATTTCCTATAAAAAAGGGATCAAGTGATAGAAGGTTGACCTTGATTGACAGTCATGATCATTGTCATTTGCCTCAGGTAGAAATACCTCTTTGTTAATCCTTAGGGAGTGTGTTCCTTCAGCATCTGAAGCAGCACCTGGCTGAAGCTGATGTGCTAGTGCTGCTTTGGAGCACTATCTGCTGGGGACATGTGATGTTTGGGTGGTCTGATAAAAAAGGCCTTACAAGAAAGGCAGGCTGCAAACTCTCCCAACATCCCTTTGGAGTCACTGGAATTGTTGGTGTTGGGACAGGAAGAAAGCAAAGCAGTAAAGAGTGGTTGCCAAAATTTCTGTGACTGTGTGATTCCTTCTTTTTGAAGACCACGGCAAGTGTTATTTCCAGGCTGTGTTCCCCTTGTGTGTCAGAGGGAAGGCAAAACCATAGTAGCAGTCCTTGAAAGCTCTCACTTCCCACTGCAGTTTTTAATCTGTTCACAGTGTATTTGAACCTGCTTAAAAGCTGACTGCTGTGCAGGAAAGGGCCGTTTGTAGCTGATTTAACCCTTCCATGTGAGGCACTACAAATAGACACAAGTCAGCGCTGTGTTTGCTTCTTCTTGCACTGGAAAATTAAATGGGTCGTAATTCCAGTTCCCTCCGACAACTGGCAGTTAGGCAATAGGCAATGTTTTGCAATATGAAATTAGCAGAATGACCTCAAGGGATCTAGAACCTGGAGTAGGCAGCTGATGCCCATTCCATCTCCTTGTAATTTCCCTAGGAGACCAGGAATTGTTTCAAGTGAATTTGTTATGCTTGTGGGTGTCAATTTGAGATTCATTAAATTAAAGGGATCTTTGCTCTTGGATTCCTCCTATGTCACCCACATTGCTTTCTTCTAAGTTGGGTTCCATTCTTCCAAATGGACAGAGAGTTTTGCATGTTTTCTGGTTGATTTTCCTAACATATGGGGCACTTCATCATAAAAAAGCACTTGTGTTTATTTGGTATAAATTCCTGTTATTTACTGAACCTTACAAATGAGTGCTACATTCTGTTGCTGCATATTTATTTGCATTATTTGCAATACTTCCCCTCCTCTCGATAAAGCCTCTCTCACAGCTTCTAAACAGATGTGATTGCAGTAGGCTGGCTCTGGCAAAAAGGCTCAAAAATGGCAGAAGAATGACATTCAGAATCTCTGTTTAGTCAGTGGATGGCAGAAGTAATTCTGAAAGAAAATATTTTGCTGAGGAAATTTATGTAGTCACATTACAAACTGTAGTTATTCAGTGTAGTGTTGGATGCATATCATATGGGATATTCATATTCATATTGGAATTTGACAAAAATGACATTTCATGGATCTTCTGAAATAATGATAATGATAATATCATCATCAATTATTGTGATGGGGTGCAAAAAGCTATGCCAAATTTCTGACCAAAAATAGGAAGCTATGTTATGAACTGCCTGAAGAAATAAATAATTTCCTTTCCACTTTACATCACGAGCAAGTTCATTACCTTCATTCAGGGCAGAGATAAAATTCAAATCCATATTCACTTCTATAGCAGTCTTTAGTTTTTGGAGTTAAGACATACAGTGCTTAGACAATCATGTCTCAGTTGTTTTTATGCTTATGGTCTCAAGAGCAGAAGGATGCTTTGGGAGCTTTGTCAGCCATTTTTGGCAGAAATTTAACAAAATTACACTCCTTGGTCATGACTGGACAAGTTCCAGTACTCAGGTTTATTCCTTAGTGGCTTTTGGGACAATTTTCCATTGAATTACAATTTTTATTCCATACTGTTAGTAGGTAGACACGCAGAATCTTCTTGATTTTTGCTGTCATTCCCAATTTGGGTGGTTGAGGTGCAGGTTTTTTGTTTGTGTGTTTGCTTCTTTTTCTCTTCAAACCATGTGACATCAATGGTAACAGAGTAGTAAGAACACCGAAATGATTTTCATTATTTCAGGAGGTACAAAGTGGATAAAGCAAAGAATAATTGTAAGAAGAGCCTTGGCCACGTGGATCTTGTAGTACCTTTGGGCTGGATGGTTTGACCACCTCAACAGAGAGGTGACTAGAAACTCTTCAGTTCTTTATATGGTTTCACAGAATGAAAAACAACTCTACCTTATCCAGGAGAGGAAACTTCTTCCTCCCACCCAGGCTAGGCAAGTCTGTCTTTCCCTCTGTGCTTTTAAATGATCTGTCTTGTGTGTGTCTAAACTTGGTGCTGAGACATCCCACCAAGTGAGTCGCCACATTTCTGTTCCTTGCAATACTTAATTTTGTCCCCCTTTCCTGCCTCAAATCAGGTCCCAGAAATTACCTCCACCCTCCCGCCCACGGGGTTTTTAGCACCTAGACTCCGTGCATTCCGATCCCCTGTGCCGAGGCTGATGGCAGCTATTCACAGGTGCTGCCAGGTGCATCAACGCCCTCTCCTCCAGATCTCCACCAGGCCCCGCTAGGGAATGTGTGCTAGGTGGGCAAGCCACTTGAGGAAGAGGCCAGAAAGGAGAATAAGGAATAGTAGCTAAAGAGAAATGGGCGAGCAAAGCTGTTTTACAATGGAGCATTGTTCCTAGAGAAGCCTTTTGGCAGGGCAGGTAAGAAATAGTGGTTAATGGTGTACCTGGCAGCAGCAGGGTGGAGAGCAAGAGGCTTAATGCTGTCACTGAGAGAAAGAGCATTGGCAAGGCAGAAACACTTAAAAAACAAACCATTGAGGATAGAGAGGAGGATAGAGATGTAGAGGATACAGAATGCTCAGAAGGCAACCAGCAAGGGGAGAGAAAGGTGAGGAAGCTAAGTAACGAAAAGGTGCAAAAGAGAAGTTATATTGCTGGAGAAGATTGCAATGTCATTTGAAAGACCTGAGGGATATCATGCAGCAGCAAATCTGAAGGTACAGAAGAAACTCAACTCACTATGTGACACAAGAAGCATGCCATGGATTCACATGGGCTTGTGAGTGTCAGGAGTCTGTGTGCTGGAGCCTGGGTGTGTGGTGTAAATTAGAGGTGGTGCAGCCCCCTCTGACATCTGTGCTTCTCTTACTGCCTGGACAGTGTTGGATTTTACACAAGGTCCTT